GTGTCTTTTCAAGCGAACGAGCAATTAAGGTGATTGTCTAAGCACATTCAGACCAGAGTTGCTGGGCCAAACAGGTGAGTCAAAGATGGATTGAGAATGAAATAATTGGTTTTCCTAGTGGAAGTATAGTGGTTCACTAGCCCAGAAGCTTGGCTAATCCATTCTTTAATGGAGTCTCTTGCCCCTCGTATCTTTATTAATCACGAATTCAATTTACAAAGAGTCTCTCAGTAATCCTCCCTTTCATTGGAGGCGTTGCACAGTATTTATAGACCTGTCCCTATTTCTCAGGGATCAAAAACAAGATGTTTGCCCTTCATTTATGGGTTCTTCCTTGATTTTAGGAGATCTTTGGTTAGTTAAGTGTTCTGTGCCTTGATTATAGCTCCCCATTGCTACGAGGATGCCTTTCATTAGCCAGCTGTCCGCTTCTCAGTTTCCTTGCTAATCCCTTTGTAAAAAACTCAAGTGTTTGATCGTTGAGCTCTGGTTATTGTTTGACCTCCTGGTCTGAGCTCATTACCTGAGCTCCTCGCCTGAGTTCATACTTAGAGTTTTTCTTGGTATCATCACCCCTCAAAGAAATTAAAGATGAAGGAATGATCCCTTGAAAGAAGTTTCCTTCCATGTAAATTTTTTCTAATCTAACACAGCTACCAAGTGGGCTCGGAATCTCACCAGATAATATGTTCTTGGCAACAATCAATTCACCAAGATTTTTCAGATTTCCAATTTTCATAGGAAGGGAACCAATCAATTGGTTGTGAGACAAGTCTAAATACAATGCTAAGGATGAGATGCCAAAAACTTGTGGAGGTATTATGCCACTAAGGCTGTTTCGAGAGATATTCAAAGCGTTCAACATTTGGCATTTTCCCAAACTAGACGGGATACTACCATAATAATTGTTGTTGTCTAGGCGGAGTTCTGTTAATATACTTAAATTTCTGAGGAATGAAGGAATTTCACCTGAGAATCGTTTAAGGGATAAATCCAATCTTTGAAGTTTTGCAAGCTTGGCAATATCATGGGGAATGTTACTTGTGAATTGATTGTTGCTCATGTCAATATATGAGAAGTTGGCAAAAATCGAAAGGCAATTTGGAATGTTCCCAAGAGTTGATTGTTTCCTACTGACAGTCCTACAAGCTTAGTTGAAAGGTTTCCAAAAGAGTCAGGCAATACCCCTCCAAAATTGTTATTACTCAGACCCAGTTCTTGTAAACCACTTGCATTCCTCAAAGATGAGATGAAACTGAGGTCATTGGCATTTCCACTTCCCAAGCTATTACCAGAGATGTCTATATGACAAAGGTCATGTAAATTTTCAAACGTAGGCACTTTTCCAATGAGTTTGTTTCCATCAATGAAAAGAAATGCCAGATTTGACATATTGGACACTGAAAAAGGAATGGTACCAGTGAATCGATTTCCTGAAATGCCAAAGTAACTGAGATTAGGAAGAGTGAAGCCCATGTCCGATAGAAGAGTCCCCTGAATTTGGTTCAGTGGCAAAAAAATAGTGGGGATAGAAGAGAGATTGAAAAGTGTGGGAGGGAAGGTACCAGACAAACTATTTTCAGAAAATCCAATGTATTCTAGTTTTGTCAATTTTCCTAGAAAATCAGGGATACTTCCAACTAGACTGTTAGAAGAAAAATCAAGAAACACAAGAGATGATAAGTTCCCAAAAGAAAGAGGGATACCACCTATAGACTGTTTCTAGGGGCCTAAATCAACTGGAGTTTTGACAGTGAGCCGAACTCCATAGGAATCTTTCCTACTAGCATGTTCCAAGAAAGTCGAACCTCAACTAGGTTAGAACAACTAGATATATTGGCGAGAATTTCACCACCAAGTGAATTGTTCCTGAGTCACAACAATCTTAATCTTTTCAAATGTTCAAGTTCTTGTGGAATTTGTTGATGGAAGCTATTGTTATCAAGAAGTAACTCTCGCAAGAAACTCAAATTTTCGAGGTAGGGTGATATGGACCTTGTGAGCTTCTGATGTTGTAGGCCTAACACAACGACCCTCTGGTGTTGGTGACTGCATATCACACTGCGCCACTAGCAGAAGTGGATGGAATCATTCCATGAGCTTAGAGACCTTGTCGGATCATCAACTATTTTGGCCTTGAATTTAAGCAGTGCTAGCCGATCGTTTCATTCCCATTCAGGGCATTGGTGGTCACTAGAAAGAAGCCTAACGTTGAACATGAGAGAAAGAGGATGTTTAAGCAAGCAACTAGGGAGAACAATGCCATGAGTTTTCAAAAGCTCTAGTTTGTAGGAACCAGAAGCTATAATTTTTCAGACAATGCTCGGAGAAATTGAGGTAACTGTAGACATTAAAAATTTAATTAACAAATTAATGTCTATAATTGAGCTCAAATCAATTAGATAAATAAAATTTGATTGGACCTAAATTCCATAACCTAAATTATACAAGCCCAAATTTAATTAACAAGGCTGCTAAATTAAATTAAATTGGACCTAAATTTCATAGCCTAAATAATACAAGCCCAAATACAATTAATCAGGCTTGTTAAATTAAAAAATACTTAAATTCTATAGGCCCAAATTAAATAAATTTTCAAAAGGTAAAATTGGTTGGACTTAAATTCCATAAATTAATTAAAGCCTACAAATTTATGGGTAGCCCACTACCTAAAGCCCATATAAGAGTAATAAGGACTTTTATATGGATAACTATCACTTTTATATGAATGACTACTCTTAGCACTATAGGGGAGGGCCAAAAGGAGAAAAATGGAGAAGAAGCCAAGAAGAAAGGAAGATTGGCGAAGCTCTGCTCAAAGTTCATTAAAGCCTTAAAGCCTTGCAAGTTCATCTCCAAGATGAAGAACACACCGCCAAGGTCCTTCTTCAAGAAATTCAAATCATCTTCAAGCCATTCCAAATGAAGAACGGTGAGGAGATTTATCAAAAGCATCTTCAAATTGAAGAGTAGGAGATATATTGATCCAGCTCTCATTTTCATCAAAGCCACCAATTGAAGAGTGAGAAATACGCCAATCAGAACCTCATCTTCACCAAATTCATCAACTTCATCAAATTTATCGAGAATCAGTGGACAGTGAGGAGAGTCAACACTACTTTTTTTTACTTAAAGTCAATCAAATTGCCTATTATAATTTGACCTTATTTTGTGTTAATTCATTTCACGAAAATTTGTCGTTACAAATTTTGGCACGCCTAGTGGGAACCTCTCTTCCTCTCATCTCTCAAATCAACAAGGCTTACAACAATGACAACTAAAGACATCGTGATTCCTCCTACTGACAAGTCAACAGACTTGGTCAAGAAGTCAATTCCAACAACCCGTGCTAGAATAAAAGTGGGTAAATCTCAAATTTTGCCACCGATGGAGCATCGATCTAGGCAAAGCAAAAGGAAAGTTTTTCCAAGCAGAAAAAGACAACCTGCTCATTCTTCTATCGATCTGGAGGAAGAGACGGACAATTCTTTGCCCGACACACACTCTAGCACAGGCTCGAAGACTGAATTTTACTTCGAGATTTCTCCTAAACAGAAGTGGGGTGATTATTCCTTGTCCTCTGATATGCCTATGCTTGTGATAGTGACGGAAGTCACTTCATCTGAAGAATATCTTCAACAATTCACTGCTACGGTCGAGAAGTTGACCAAAGCCCTTGAAGGTAAAGAAATACAAATCGTTGCACTCATGAACCGGCTTGAATTGCAAGAACCTTCAAAAGGAAGCAGTCAAGAAATTTCAAGTCCTTCAAGGACTAAAATGCCAGAAAATCCAAAGTTTTTAGAACAACAACAAAAAACAAGAGCAATATAATCGCGTCGTGGCGCAAAATGCCATGCAAGATTCTTCTCAAATGTCGGTTGCCGCACTCTCTGTCCAACAACTTCAACATATGATTGTTGATACCATTCAAGCCCAGTATGGAGGAGCTCCCCAGTCTTCGTTAGTATGTGCGAAGCCATATACTAGATGAATTGACGAGATACAAATGCCAATAGGCTACCAACCCCCGAAGTTTCAATAGTTTGATGGGAAAGGCAACCCAAAACAGCATGTTGTTTATTTCATTGAAACATGCAATAATGTCGGTACCTACGGTGACCTGATGGTGAAAGAATTTATGCGTTCCCTCAGAGGGGCTGCATTTGACTGGTACACTGATCTAACAACTGGAACTGTTGACAGTTGGGACCAACTTGAACGAGAGTTTCTCACTCGTTTTTACAGCACTCAACGTGTGGTAAGTCTTCCTGAACTTGCAGGAACAAAGCAAAGAAAAGACGAAGCTATCATTGATTACATTGAACGCTAGAAGAGTCTTGTTCTCAATTGCAAGGAATGCATTAGTGAAGCCTCTTCAATTGATATGTGTGTCCAGGGAATGCATTGGGGACTACTCTACAGTCTCCAAGGAAACATGTCCCATACGTTTAAAGAACTTGCAACACGAGCCCATGACTTGGAAATTCAAATTTTCAAGCACGGAAGTTACTTTCTCAGCAACCCTCGTGAAAAGAGAGACGTAAATAAAGACACGAAGAAAGATGTGAAAGTCTCCAAATCAAAAGAATCTTTGGCAATCTCCACTACACTGGTGAAGATTTTTGATAAAAAGCCAAAGACAGACTTCCAAGTCAAATTTAATCAAGATCAGACTCAAAAGAAGACAAGACCAAGTTTGAAAGAATTTTAAGAGAAGAAATATCCCTTCACTGATGATGAAGTGTCAGATATTTTTGATCAGCTACTCGAGTTAAAACTTATCGAGCTTCCAACACCCAAGCGGCCAGAAGAATCGGGAAGGGTTGATAATCTGAAGTATTGTAAATTTCATCGGATTATTAGTCATCCCCTTGAAAGATGTTTTATCTTAAAAGAAGAGATTCTTTGTTTATTGAACGAGAAAAAAATTAAACTCGATTCTAGCGAAGAAATGACAGTTATAAATGTGACAATGGTCACTTTTGGGTCTTTCGACCCTATACCAATTTCAAACAAAGGAGCACAATCATCACCTCCGATACATCATAAAGAACCATCACAACTGTTGAATTCTTCTATCTCTGTAGAAGAAACACCGTCAACCAAAAGTAAAGAACTTACTGTTCCTCTTCCTGAAGGAGCTGTGCAAGTACAGTTAATTGTTGATGATGAGATAACAACGGTATATGAATACCTAGGTATGTCGAGGCATAAAAATTCCAACATTCCAACACTTTTTGAACTCATGAAAGATGATCTAGGTGTTTGGGCATCATCATCTGAATCAGAAGACGAGATCGGGGATGGTTGGTCAACCTTTGTCAGCAAAAAGGATAAATATCGAACCTCGATTACTAACACATAGTAGTCTAATCTACTAGGCAACTCGGAGCTCATGCTAGGAGCACCTATTTTGGATCTCAATCCAAGTGGATAGCCTCATTTGGATGATTTTGTAGCTACTGAAGAAGATTTGGGGGAATGGACTATGGTGAAGCCTCGGAGAGTGCGTAAGCTACAACATTCATCTACTCTAACTAATAAGCCAAAACACCCCAAAACAAATAGGAGACCTCATTCTCACCAAAATCAAAGACGTGGAGGAAAAAGAAGAGTATCTTCCCAGCTGACAATCATTGATGATGAAGACTATAACTTACATTCTCGCACACCTGTAAAATGGATAGAATATTTTCCTAAGCAATTCTTTATAAGGGAATCAATTGCATCTTATGTGATCAGTGTTTGTGAAGAAAAATGCATAACTGAGGCTCCACTAAATAAAGATTCAGATACCAAAAATGCTCAGAAAGAGGTATCGACAGATGAAGAAGAAATGATTGGAAGGTTTAGAGAACTTCCATCAAACCTAAGTCTTCCTGAGGCACTTGAATTACCCAAAGAAACCCGACAAATGTTGGTACAAGCTTTGGTCAACCTAGAAAAATTCAAAAAAAAGATCTTAATTGTTGCTGATCAAGTTAGTGAATCCGATTGCATGACAACGATTTCATTCACTGATGAAGATTTACAGTTAGGATCTCTTCTTCACAATAGACCCCTTTATGTGAGTCGGTTTATTCGAGATTATAAAATATCTCGTATATTGATCGATTGTGGATCGGCTGTCAACATCATGCCAATTCGCATCATGAAGCAACTTGGAATCTCTATGGACAAGTTGTCAAAAAGTAAACTAACAATTAAAGGCTTTAATCAACGGGGACAACGTGTCATTGATATGATTCGACTTAAGATGGAGATTGAAGAATTGGGGTCTTTTGCTCTTTTCCATGTTATCGACTCCAAAACATCTTATGTGTTACTATTGGGGCGACCTTGGTTACATGAGACGGGAGTTGTGCCATCAACATTGCACTAATGCTTCAAATATTATCATGATGGAAAAGTGAGACAAGTCGTTGTTGAGACCAAGTCTTTCTCAACAGAAGAATCTCATTTTGCGGATGCCA